CACTGGTTTAGCCGGATCCAATGTCATCATTTCGAATCGTTCGTTGCTTTACACCTCCGTCGATCACGCGTACTGTCCACCAAAAACTTCAGCAAGTCCTTCTTTCACAGTTGGCAACCGCACCCTCGCCGTCAGTTCTCACGGAGTCTAACGAGGTTTTCACTTGTCCGCATTTTTTACGGTGCCATCCAGGGATCAAAATGATATTAGGTACAATGGAAATGATATGGAAACAGACAATGGTAATCAAACTTGACACATATAAGGTATAGTCATTTGAAGCAAAGTTCAAACAGAGGAAGTAATCGCCTGTGTCAGCATCGACCACTCGAACAGCCCACAATAAAGTGACTGAACAGACAAAGGCAGCGGTAACAACGAATAAGTTTAGAAAAGACCACTACATGATCAACACCTCTCAAATATTCTTCATGTCAGCCACAGTCCGTTGCATGCAGCAACGTAGCCATTATGATCAACTTCAGGATGAAACCTTACAGACATGTAAATTAACCTGGATTTCGGTCTGTACGCCATTCCACTGTTATTCCATTTAAGGAAAAACTTCAACCTCTTCCGGATGCACTTGACATCAATAGATTTTCAGGTTACGAAAAGGAGGTTCAGTCCTATTAGAGAAACTGCTTGAGCACAAACCATGTAGTCTTTTCCGCGAAATTCCCATTTGACAGCCGAATCGCGGCCAGTATGCTAGATGGTGAGACAACGCAGGAGCAGATCTGCTTACGGAGAAGAATATCTCTTTCTGCTCTATGGCAAAAGATGTAAAAAGCTTCGATACAGCGAATATAATAAACCGGACACACTGTGCTTATACAAATATAGCAGCCCATTCGTGCCGTTTGGTGTATAATCTAAACAGCAGCGATCGCCGCAGGCAAACAACAGAAGGAGCAATCATTGAACATAGAACAGGGGCGAAGGTGGAGGTGGGAGGGGGAGCGCCATGAATTCCTACAAATACTTACGACGCAATTAATATAACAAAATCGAATTACTACTACCACACACGAAGGCGTCGACAAACTAGGAGAATCACTCACAGACAGTGTTGCTT